GTGAACGGGTGACTGCCTCGCCTCGGTGCTCAGGCGTACCGCTTCCAGCAGGCTCCGACGCGCGACGAGCTCAAGGCGGTGATCCGCCAGCTGGGGCCACGCGCAGGCAGAGGAGATTGTCCGCTCCGCAGGCCTGGAACTCCAGCGGCCCGAGCAGGTGATGGTGAGGTTCGGTGAGGTGACGACGTTGGACGATTTCTTCGGCGGCAACTTTCTTCCGCGACGTCGAGCTCGTCTGCCCGCCGTCGCCGATGCGGGGGCCGCAGGAGACGCGGGCGGGGAGGTGTTCCCCGCGCGCGGGCCTGGACCGGCCATCGCGGGCCATGTCTGGGTGTTGGCGGAGCCCTCAGTCATCGGACCCGTGGGCAGCGAGGTCAAACTTGAGGCCGAGGACGTGCGGGTCGACAAGTACGACGCCCTGGTTACCCGCGGAGATGGGTATCGAAGGGTCACCTGCATTCGGGCGGACCTCGTCGAGAGGGTCATTGCCGACTGGTGCGGGATGGCCCGAGTGGAGTTGCTGGTCACAGGCGAGGCCCAGCCAGAAGCGGGCCGCGCGCAGACCATCCTGGGCGCGGACCCGGGCCAGGCGGCTTCGCCGACAGCTGCTGGTGATAACGGGGGCGCCCGTACGCTCTGGTTGGACTGCGACGAGCAGGGAACCAGGTACAAGGATTTCCGCAAGTGCTGCCAGGAGCCCCACAGCCTCGTGGATCCAGACTTCCCGCTGCAGGGGCCGTCCACGGAGCACGCCGTCATGCGCCACATGGAGCGCCACGGGGGTAATCCACGCCTCCAGCTGGCGATCAGGGCGCGAGAGCGCCGCATTGAGGACTCGGGCCGCGTGATGCACGAGATGCGGTGCCTGATCGACATCCTCTTCCTGGGGGCGACCTACGATCAGGTCAACCTCCCAGTGCTCGCCAGCATGGAAGTGGCCGCGCGCCAGGTGCAGACCATCGTTGACGCGTACCAGGTCGCCGGCAAGGCCCCGAACTGGCAGCTTGCACGCTACTTCGCGGGCGCGTCCTCGGCGGTCGACGCGATCGCACCCGAGATGAGGCAGCATGTGGCCAAGAAAGCGAAGGAGGACGCCGACATTGCTGCCGGGGCCCAGCGGGCGCGGACGCTCCAGGCTGGCTCTGGCGAGGACGAGACCCCCGAGGGGGGGCGCAGGAGGCGGAGGTCGGGGGAGGGGCGGCCGAGGCCGCGGCGGCGGCGCTGACGGCCGCGGCCAGGGCAGCGGCGCCCCCCCCCCGGCGCCCAATGACGACCCTTGGGCACGGCGGGGGGAATGGGCCCCCCCCCGCCGAGACGTATCGGCCCACGTCGGCCGCCCTTTCGCTGGGGCGGGGCTCGCGCCTGCTCTTCCCGACCCCCTTGGTGGCGGATGGGCTTGGCGGCCGACATCAGCGTGGGCGGCGAGGACCCCGTGGCCATCGGCGCACCTTCGCCGTCGTCAATCGGGCGATCATGGCGCCCCACTGGTTGGAGGGCCTTGAGAGCAGCATTTTTTGCGTCGATGCGACTTCACGGGCATGCACAACGAGGTAGTGGCGCGCATCGAGGGCCTGGTCAGATCCCAGGAGCTGGTTGCAGACGCACCCTCGCCGAGATCGTCATTTTTACAGATGATCCGTGGCGTCTCCCTGGACGAGGAGTGCCAATCGAACATTGCCCCCTTCCAGCTGCGCCTTGTCTCTTTGCCGGCCGACGTCTCCACGGCTCCGTCCGTGTGCGACGTTGTCGACCAGCAGGGGCGCCTCTTCCTGGAGGGTTGTGGAGAGCGCATGCTACGAGACACCAGCGAGTTTGAGAACTTGCGACGGCGTGAGCCCGTCAAGCCGTACTCAGATCCCCGCCTGGCGCGATCGCGCCGGCAGTACCTTCGCTTCGTTCGCCGCCTACACGATATCGGCATGCTCCGGCACACCACGCGGCCGATCGACTTCATCGGATCCTTCTTCGTCTGGAAGAAGGGCAGGACCAAGCAGAGACTGATCCTAGACGGGCGAGCCGCCAACCAACGGTTCGCACAACCTCCTCATGTGGACCTGCTGACCGCGGAGGGCCACTCGAGCATCGAGGTCTACGTCGACGAGGACCCTGAGCTGGCCACTGACATGGGCCGAGGTGCCCTTCGGGCGCTCCGAGTTGCCCTGGGCGTAGCCGACGTAGAGAACTGCTTCCACCGCATGATTATGCCGCCGTGGATGAGCGCCTTTTTCTGCTACGAGCCAGTGTTCGCCGCCGAAATCGACCCATTGGGCCTGCTGCTCATCGAGGGCGATCGGGCCTTTGGTGACACCCAGGTGTGGCTGGCCGCGCGCCCTCTTCCCATGGGATTTGCATGGGGCCTCTACTTCTGCCAGAACGCCAACACTAGGCTCTCCGGCAGCGCGCCTCTGCTCCGCCACGCCCGCCTGCTGTCCGACCGCGGGGACTGGGCGGTCCTCGCGACCGGCGCCCCCGAGACAGACCTCTGGCGGTACGTCTACGTGGACAACCTCGGGGCCATGGGCCGGCACGCCGACACGGTGGGCGCCGCCTTGTCGGAGCAGGTCCAGGTCTTTGGTGAGAACGGCCTGGACATCCACGAGGTCGAGCTGTTCACCGAGAAGGGCTCCGCGCTGGGGGTCGACCTGGACGGGTCGCGGCTCGTGACCTGCCTCACTGCCAAGCGGCGGGTCAGGCTTGAGAGGGGGCTGCTCTACCTCCTCCAGCGCGGCCGCGCGAGCGGGCAGATGGTGGAGAGCGTTCTCGGGCACTGCACCTACGCCGCCGTCATCAAGCGCGAGACCATGACCGTGTTCTCAGCCGCGTGCGCGTTTGTGCACGCCACGTACACGAAGGACGTCGAGCTCTGGAAGACCGTCAAGGCCGAATTCTTCGCGTTTGTCGGGCTGCTGGTCTTCATGGAGAGCGACTGGTGGCTACCGTGGAACAGGGGCGTCACCGCCTCGGACGCGTCGCCGGAGGGCTTCGGCATTGTCTGCTCTCGCTGGTCGCCCCAGGACGTTGCCAGCGTCGGTCGAGTCCGGGAGCGAGGCCGTTTCCGCCGAGGAGGGCCGGTCGCCCCGCGGGAGTCCGCCACGGCGGCTGCCGGCTTTGCGCTCGAGGATGGGCGCTGGCGGCCGCGGGAGGGCGACGAGCTCGACGAGGACTGGTCCATCGTGGAGGGCTCCCCCGAGGTGCCGGCCCGTCTTCTTCATCCAGGGGGCTGGCGTGTGTGCCGCTCCGGCACTTGGGGCAGGCACGAGCACATCACTCTGCTAGAGGCTCGGGCCCTGCTGGCGTCCGTGCGTCGGCTGGCGCAGGTCGCTGTCGGCGGCAACCGCCGGCACCTCCACCTCTGCGATAACATGTCGGTGGTGTTGGCCGTGGGCCGGAGCCGTTGCCGGGTTTTCGCGCTGCTGACCGTCCTGCGCAAGCTGAGCGGCTTCCTGCTGGCCCGCGACATCAGGCTGCACGTGGGGTGGGTGCCGAGCGAGCTGAATTTTGGTGACGAGCCGCCCCGCATCTTCTCGGAAAAAGCATCGTCGTCGCTCGCCTGGGCCATCCCTGACGTCGTCCGCAAGGCGCGGCCGCCACAGGCTCGAGCCGATGAGCGAGGAGCGGAAGCGGCGGCGGACCTTGACCGCGCGGGCCTCGGGGGATGCGCTGGATCCTGGCTCGGGCCCGACCCTGGCGAGGAAGGTGCGGGCCCTGGTGGCAGCGGAGCCGCGGCTCCCAGCCCGCGCGAGCACGCGGGCGGGGATCTCGCGAGCGAGACAGCTCTTGCCGCAGCTGCCGTTGGGGGTCCTCCTGCAGCCGAGGGCGCCCGTGAGCCAGACGCTGGGCGAGTGGGTGAAGCAGACCGTCCGCGAGGAGAGCGGCAGCTACGTCGGCAAGCGCAACACTCCGAGGCCGCCCACGTCGAGCCCCTCGAGCACTGGGCCCGCATCCGCGGGCGTCGGCGGGGCCGCCCGACGAGAGCGGACGCTTGCGGCCCGGTCGAAACGCTAGCTCTGGCACTACCTCGAGGAGAAGTTCAGGGCCGAGAACGACGGGATCACCCTGCTCGAGAAGCGCGCGGTGACAGACAAAATCCACTTCGAGTACACCTGCGAGGTGGCGCCCTTTGCGGCGTTCGCGGCGGCCCAGGGCGTCTTTGTGGACTGCGCCGAGGCCGACGCCGTGGACACCGTGATCGCGTCATACCTCGAGCAGTGCTTCTTCGAGGGCTTTCAGCCGTCGACCGGGGCCAAGGCTCTGGCGGGCTGGATCCACCTCCACCCTGCCTACGGCCGCCGGGGCTCTTTGAAGCTCCCGCGGGCCTGGAGGGCGCTTCAGGGGTGGCACGAACTTTGCCCTGGGCGCTCTCGGAAGCCGGAGGGGCTTGGCGTCTGGTTCGGCCTCGCGAGCGCCATGTGCCACCTCGACCGGCCCCGGATGGCTGTGTTCGTCCTCCTGGCCGTTTCGACCTACCTCAGGCCGGGGGCGCTTCTGACCGTGAGGGGGACCGAGCTCATTCCTCCTGCGCAGGGCGTCACTCGCCACTGGTCAGTCCTCGCCCACCCTCACGAGCGACCAGGGCGGAGCAAGATCGGGGACTCGGACGTGTCCATCCTGCTCGACAGCGATTGGGCCAGGGACCTGAAACCGCTCTGGGAGCGCCTGCGGGCCGTGGCGGGGTCGGGCCCCCTGTGGGATTTCGACTACGGCGAGTTCCACACATTTCGTCGTGCTGCTCGGCTGATCGGCGTGCCGGACCTGGTCCCGTACCAGACGCGCCACAGCGGTCCGAGCGTGGACCGTGCCCGGGGCTCTCGCTCCCTGCTGGAGGTTCAGAGGCGTGGCCAGTGGAAGTCAGGCAAGAGCGTCGCCCGCTACGAGAAGCACGCCAGGCTTGCCGACTTGTTCCATCGGCATGCAGCCGCCCTCCAGGCCTACTTCCAGGAGTGCGAGCTTCGCGGCGTGGAGATTGTCCTCCACGCGCGCCTCGTGCCGCCCCCTCCTTC